AATTCTCTGGGTGTTGCACACTACCTTGGTTTGTGTTCTTGCATGGTTGCTTCTAGTGCACTGCAACTCGCTACAATCCACGGTGGACCAGAATACGTACTCACCTCAGAGTAACTGTTATCCGCATTCTTTCTTTCGGGTTCCTGTCTCTGACAGTACTTGAATTGCGCTGCACAAAGCATGGCACAATTAGTGATATTATGTGACAAGTTACTAGAATCTGTGCGTCTAGCTGAACTCATAGGTTTCTCTTAAGATCGTGTCGCGTAGCTGATATAGCTGTTCTCCATAAAAATAGTGAGTTGATAAATGCCGCCACCATAGTTGACGGTGACAGACAATGAAGAAACGTGGTTATAGTTGATATATATCAGTCTGAATTCAACTGCCCGATTATTGCTAGGTTGCACAGGTAGCCGAAATGCTGAGAGAAAGTACACCGTTTTACATGCGCGCGCTTAAATACCACTTATACCAAAGTTATTAACACATAATAGAATAACATGGGAGATTCAGTTAGGTGTTATTAAGATCATAAATGAACAGTAGTTTAATACCTGATGCGATCACACATATTGAAGTTTATCCATTAGGAGCAAGTAGAATTCTATCATGTAAATAATAATGACAAAGTAGCTGAAGTTTATTGATTCCAACAAGAAGCAAATTGCGCAATATATTAATTGCCTTTTAGTTACTCTGCAAGCATTTACCTAAAGGGGTCCTCATGGATGGGTCGTTCGACTGAGGTAGCTGGAAGATATATCACTGGAACAATAACAATTCATATTCCTGTTCGTTTTGCTATTTCCACTGCAACTACAACATGTAGTTTTAGCCATCCTATTAACGAAAATAACGCTGCTGCATAATATTTATTTCTAAATATGTATGTGTATTTACATTCTCGACTATGGGTGACGAGGTACATATTGTTGAACAAGTCAAAGCGTAAAATAGGGTCGAACGTTTCTTGCATATACTGGTATATTTTAAATAATACGCGTGTTCTTAGTTTAGTAAAGCACGCGGCGTTTACCATGGCCAGTCCGATTTTCAGCAACCATAGTATTGATTACAAGTTGGATGGTAATTCTTGCAGTTATTCAGCGGTAGTATGTTTCTGTTAGTCATATTCGGACAAATCCTTGGTCGCGTTGTAAGTCTGTCATGGTAGCGGATTGGGAAACCATCAGCATGCGACGAAGCACTGTAATCAAGATTAGATCCAGCTGTTGTGACTGTTATTTTATTATGTCGATTGGCCAAAACGCAAGTGCTGTTTGTATAGGAATAAATATACCAAGTGGCCTAACATAATGTAACTACCAGTTGCATGAATTGTAGGATTCTGGGGTTAATGGATATGTTTGAAAAAAAATGTAAAGTTCAAAGGATTTGTAAACATGAAGGCTTCCAAGGTGACGGTAGTTGTAACAAATCTAAGTGATTGTAGAGTAGATGAAGTGTATATTTATGGGCGCTGTAGCATGCGGTAAGTGAACGTACCTACCAGAGTAATGCATGTTACTTAATCGTACTAGGTTCGAGATGGAATTTAATAGGTTGGTTCAGAGCTGCATAACCTCAGATTCTTAGTCTTCTAACCACTAGTTTGTAATCCTTAACGAAAGCGGTACTGTAACGCGGTTTTAAGGTGACACGAAATTAAGTAGAAAGTGGACCTACTTTTACTGTTTTTCTATTGTACGCCCATACGTATCTGGTACCATAACGGATGGCAACCATCGCTTATTGTAGATTATTTGGTAAGGTATACTGTTGCAGTCGTCCGGTGCGAGAGGAAAGTTACCCCGTTAACCATTTGTTAGCCCTTTACGTGGATCCGAAGGAGTTGAGATGAGTATGGCAGGTTACCCCTAGAATATAACAGAGGAACTGGGCGTGAACCTGGGGTCCAGTTTATCTCCAGTCGTTGGCTTACATGTAGGCTTAAAACCTGGAGGCAACATTGCTGCTTAAGGGCCGGCTATTAGTTTGGTAATATGTCAGTTTATTAATATACGACCTGTCTGAACAGATGAACCGCCAACTATCCCATACTGGTGTTTTCGATCAAAAGCAAATGGAAATCTTTATGCGAAAATGAACAATGTTTTATGTCTAGGTGTTCCTTTAGATAAGATTGGGCATCCTTAGCACGTCCATATGTTCTTGCGCGGTGTCACATTTTCAGAACGTCGTAATGTTGATGCGAGAAATTGAACCTTTAGCGCAATAACTGACCGAAATTGCCGCAGCTAGCCGCCTTAATCAGATACGTATTGGGCAAAATTTTGCCGCTCAAAAATATGGTTGGTTTAGCTTAACGGCTATTGTAATAGTTAATCACAGGTTGTGAATTGTCCTCGACTTAATATTAACAGGATCCGCAATTAGGTCAAATTGATTTTTGGTATCTTTAAGGGCGGGTTGGAATAATTTTCTTTATGACAAATGGTGAACCCAGATAATAATATACCAAACGCTGTTCCGCAGGAACAAGCGGTCCCTGAAAGTTGTCTTACACGTAACTGCTTGCCACCGAGGTGCTACAGGATGGTTGATTACGTTGCTTAAATGCTTGGTTGTCGTAGATAATGTATAAAGTGCACCAAGTAAGTAGAGGGGCGGAAATGCCCCTCATGGCTAGATTTGTCAAAAGCCAACTGGTTGTCTTTATTTGTGGTCGTTTGCAAATAAAAGGTCGCCAATTTTCCCTACTGTCAGTTGAGCTTATGAGGTATTCTATTTGACAAGGCTGAACGTGCGCTTTTAATAAAACGAACTTTATATCGGTTAGTTAGATTCCTTGCCATAAGAAAGTTAAAGTGGTCGTCCATTTTATCCCTTCCACCATCTTTTCTGGAGATATCTGGATGGTTTACCTGAAACCGTACGTGCAATATTTTATGCGGTTTTTAAACTTTCTCCAGGAAGTAGTTTGTGAGCTTTGCTTTAACAAATTTCTGTTCCTACACAAGGCTAAGTAACATTTCTTTAGCTCTAGTCAGCAATAAAAGGAAAACTTTCTTATGCTGTTACTATTGGATTTTCGTTTAAGACTAGAGGCGATTGCATATGGAAGCCATACACCAACGTTCAGCAAACGCAATCCAGAAGTTAGATGATAAAAGCGGCAATCAATATCTGCTCATTTTGCTCCTCTGTTCAAAAAGAGTCAGCGTTCCCATAAGCTTTTGGTTTTAAATCGGGAAGTCAGGAAACGTATTTTTCAAGACAGCCAGTCGTAATGTGTCTTTAAGTACAACTGCCTATTATGCACAATAAATTTGATTTCCCAATTCATTAAAACGAAATCGTTAACAAATTATATCTCGCCAACAATTTTCGGCTCGTAAGCAGTATTAATTCCTATATATCTTTATACTGTTGTTAAAGCCTGTGAGGTTCTGAAAAGTTGTGCTTCTAAGTAAATGGGAATTGTAGTATTGCTTACTTTGCCACTGTTCACGCTTTCTTAGGTGTGCGCCGTCTCACCTAGGATAATTACATATATTGATATACTAAGGGTCGTACATTTTGTGACAAAGTAGTGATGACAGCCTCAAGCGTGGGCGACCTAAAAGTAGTGATGCAAGATGAAATCGGAGATTCGAGAAATTTGTGAAGGTATCAACACCAGGGAACAAGCAGGTTGGTCTCTTAGGGATGGTGTTCGGTCGTGTTGATCGTAGCAAATAACCATGCAAATGCTCAGCACATGTGTAAGGCATCATGTACCTAGAGCGATACTGGCTGGTAACTTCAGCATTTCCTCAGCTTAATGAAAAGCCACCCAGGGCAAATAAGACTTGTTCCCCCTGCCACATCAACTACGAAAAGCAGCCTTAGGTTATACAGTGGAAGCCCTTGCCGCTTGCAGGTTGATCCAAAAAGAGCTTTCATGCTTTTAGATAGCCTTGCCAGGTTGGCGACCAAACAGTGCAATGAAGCCGCAACATACTTCTGAGAAACTTCCGGGTGAAGTTTACCAAGAAAACAGTGGAATGTTGGACTTAAGAAATTTCACTTTATTAGAAATGGTCTGCTGTGGTGCATCTTTACAGCTTTGTCTTCGTTGACCGAAAGACACACACTGGTGAAAAATATTAGACAACAAATTTCACCATACGCATAACGTTGTACATGCTTTGCATAACAATTGTTTGCAAGGTGCAAACACTGTGTTTACCTGGCTTTGTAAAACTTAGGTGGACAGTATAACTGCGTGTTGACATAGGTTATTTGCGTAAGCAACAAAGCAAATTTCAATTTGCCATCACATTTGCGGTCGTCGTAATATCCCGTGGATAATTTCAAGGGACTGGGTTTAGCTTAGTTGATTTATCAAATGCTTGTTCATCGTATAACTGTGGCGGCGCATGCGAAGAGGTATCAAGCATTGCTGAGCTGCGCCTGCCAATGGGGTTACCATAATTGAGAAAATTTTAACATAACCCGTTTTGGCAAAATAGCCAGCATCAAGCTACAATGATCTTTTTTAATAATGACTTAGGGCAGATGCATTAACAGCGCCTCTATAAAAGCACCGCTTAGCCTGAGGTAAGATTATGGAAGGTAACAAAACATTCCACTTGATTTTGTTCTGAAACATCTCACTTTTTGACCTAAATGGAAAAAACAAATGAGTGTTCGCTTAGGGAATTTTTGAAAGTAGCAAGATTTTACCGATCAGGTTTTTGTATGGAATTCGATGACCTACATCTAATAGTTATGTTGTACTGTGTGCCCGTCAACACCAGACTATCTGTTTTTGTAGCACACAGAGCATAACAATTTGTCTATGCGAATGTGCGCACTTTCAGCAATGTATAGATACTTGCGCGCACCTTTTAACTCATTTGTGCTTCTGTGAGCCCAAGCTCTGTTGTGCATTGGTAACAACGCATCGCATGAGAAATTACGTGGTAAACCTGCGATATATAAATACTAGTTAGGTAGATTACTGCCATGCCTTAATCGCTTTTCTCCTTTATATGAAAACCATGCTGTCCATTACCGTGGTAACAGTTGCACTGTTCTTTGAATACTCAACACAAGTATGGAGCAGTGCCAGCCTTAGCGGCGGTAAAAATGTTACCAATGCAACCGGAGAAATCCGGGAAACCCAATCGTCCCAGAGCAGTTTGGAGGCGTCGGTACAGTCGGAAAGTACGAAACCAACGCTTGGAGTTAATGGGCAAGGAACCGAACAGGTAAACGCACGGAATCTAAGAGTATCATGGTTATCCTTATTAAAAGATCGTAACCTGCAGGTTGTATTCCTTTGTTGTAGATGGAGGTAAGGTTTCTCTTATGCCGCCATTTAGCGCAATGTGTATAAATGCGTGTCATATAATTTAGTCTATTCGTGTTGGCGAACAAAGCAGTCTGTTCAAGCGCCATACAGAAGAACAACCTTAGAACTGCTTTGCAAACTAACCGGGGTCATTTAACTAAACTTATTTGAAAAGCTTTAGTTTATTATAAGCTGTACACATAAGAGATGGTGAGGACAGTTGGTGGACGGTTTCTGACTTCTTTGCACTTAAGTACCGTATTAATTCAAAATTACCGTTGGACTAGGTAAGAGTGTATTAGCAATGTATACCTGTTGTTGGCCGTAAACCTTCTACTGACCACTGTGTACCGCTCCATATAGTATACTCACATATATCCAGGAAGCTGAACATTTAGCAAACTAAGCATTTTTACACAAGTTGGGTTTGAGGAATGTGATTGTGTTAAACTATAATAATAAAACTTGAAGTACCTTTATAACTTAACTTAGAAAACATAACTTTATTTTGTCTGTTTAAGTTAAATAAAATTTTTCCCTGACAGCAGTTTCTATTTTACTTCCGCCGGGGATGACAAGTGAGCAACAGAGAGCCCTGCTTAACGCTGAGACCCATCAAGGTGTGTTACATTGAGAAAGAATGCACGTCACTTATATGTTTGTACTTTCCTTCTCTTTTTAAGTTCATAGGAGCCCCCTTAAAATCTGGCGCTTCCGAGCAAGAAGCCGGGTACAGCCTTACCTTTCCCACTGGGCGCTACAAAAAGTGGTCCAACTGGTCTAAATGTGATCCAATTGAATGTGTAAAGCGACGACGCCGTGAATGTGTTGACGGATCTTGGGGGCACGCTGACGTGAATAGATCAGGTGCAAGACGCTGTCCTAGCCGATATTACGAAGAGACGCGCGACTGTAAAGACAAGACAACTTGTGTAACATATGGTAAGCACCACCAAATTTTTGAGAGCAAAACCATGTTTGGCCAATTATAATTACTCAGTGTGGTAGCTGTCTATTCTTAGCAGAAATCGGATGTAAACCGCAGTTAAAGTTTGTAGGTATGAGATATTATGATCCTAAGTTCCGCTCTTCAGCTGATTTATTCTAGACTTGTTTAAATAATGCTTGAATCCGCGCGGTAACAGCCGAAATTGTAATGTCTTACCCATATATTTTTTGCTTACATTGGTAACTACCCATATTCATTTTAAGTTTATTTCATTGCCATTGGGCGAACCAGAAGAGTTGTTCTTGGTTGCTGTTACCTGAAGCTGCTGCGTGAAAATGACACAAGGAATCGATGGATACTCATAAACCACTTAGCTGTGCTTTTAGTGGTTGGCATTCCAACTAATACTCATGTTGTCATCAATGCCTGACTTTGAGTTTTTGCGATCTTTAATACACGCACGGTTGCGGTGAAGTGATAAAAATTTATTTACGGAACGTCTGCACGTTCAGCTTGTGGCCAACATTTTATGACAAAGCAGTGTATTTTATGTAGCTTGCCTCAGCAGCTGGGTTTATTAACAAAATGGTTGTAACGGGTTTGCTGCACTGCACTAGTTCGCCAAAGTTTTGCTAGAGATTGGTGACGGGAAACGTGTTTAAGGTAAATCTAAAAAGTCCACTAGTGGGCAATTATACCAAAATTAAGCGCACATATTCTATTACACACAGGGAATAGTAGTCAAACCAAATTAATGTATCTAGAGTATTCCCCATCAGATCCGCCAAATTTGCGTAATTAAAAGCTTGCTGCTACTGACAGACAGCTTTCCTTTGCTATTTTATTAAGCGGCATTCAATGGTAATGGACAAAACAAATAATACTTTTAGCATATAGATGCCTTTAGGGTAAACATGCACGCATACCTTTGTAATATTAAACTTGCAGAGGATTAAAATACTACGCCTAAACTGCCTGCTAATTATGTAAGAATGTACAGTGCTTTGGGATTCTGAAAGTCGGTGGACTAAAATCATTTTCATTTGAGCACATCAGATGCTATCGTTATGAAGTGGCCAAATATTGCTGCCAAATTCATTGTGGCTGCAAACTATAGTGTTAATCTTATAAGTTGATAATATGATTAGAAGCGTTGAAGAGGGCGTCCTACAAATGCTTATCACCAAATGAAAATGGCTTGCGGCTTATGCACCTGGCATCATACGGTGACTAAATTGACTTTTGAGCAACAAAAGTGGTATTTCTTTCTAATTTCATTACCTCACCGGATAGTGTTTAGGAGACAATAAGCAACTGATACAATTTTACAGAATCAAATTACTGGAGGTCTTCCTAGTGGATGTCTTGACAGAAACCGAAACAGTTGCATATGTTATTAAAATAATTGTGTCACAAATAGGGAGCCTGTATAGTTGCAATTGGATAGCCACGCTATGGTAACTCTGAAATAAAGCTTGTTAACAGCTCTTTGTCGGTAGGAACAATATAGCTTCCGGGTGCATAACAATTTGACTAGTTAACAAATTCCGTTTAATCTAGTGATGGTTTATGCATAAGGTTAGTTTAATATATGTCTTTGAATATAAATTAGTTACACAGCTTACACGTTAAGAAAAGGGAACGATTGATTTTACGAAAATTCACCTTGTGACATTTTACCAAAACAAGGCAATATATAGTTACCAGGGATATCGTTGTATTATTTGCTATCTTTCCTGAAACAGGATTAATTAATCATGTGTATTACCTGACACGTCCTTAGGAAGGTATCAGGTGTTTAACTGGATTATACTTGTATGCCCTTATTGCTGCATTATTTAGGAAATTTGTTTGACTGCAGCTTTCTTCTGATATAGCTATTTGGTATTCCTATTTTTTATTAATTTGCGCCAAATATTTTTCTAATGTCATAACTAATTGGATTTGTGGCACTAGGTTTAGCTAGATAAGAACTGCCGTTTATTTGGAACCAGATGGTGCCCTACTTTGAGAAAATAATGGTACAATCTACAATGAGAACTGAAAGCACATTTTAAACATTGAACTGCTTCTCGATGGATAGTATATATGAAATTCTTTTGAATATTTCATGCTTTCTAGGTTCAGCCCATAAAGAGAGTAAAGAGTGTCAAGCCCTAGTCGTTTTTGCTAAGCGTTCTACAACGTATGGAGAAAATGTGTACATGCTGCGCTGATCTGAACAAGAAAACAGAAATTTGTAATTCAGTAGCGTTATGTACATAGAAGGATTTGGTTTTATAAGAAACCGTTGACGTGTTTGGTGTGTTTACACCATATTATTAATGGTTTTAATTTATCCATTGATGAACATGTTCAGAATAACAGTACTAATGCTCTCTAAGGTCTAGTCGCAAAGCAGTAATATCAACTGCTATTTCACTAGTTGTGATATTAAAATAAGCTATTTTATTTATAACATTGCTGCATCCATATCGTCAAAAAGCGGATACCAAAGAACCATGATAATCTGGTGCTTCCAATTTTTCTCTAATGTCTAGTAATGGGTATGAGGTGTTTAATATGACACTGTCAGTTACTTGGGCGTCTATACATGCAAAATACATTTGAAACTTTGCGGAATACATAAATGAATATTGAACATGCATCTTAAGCAAATTTTTGAAGACGGTTCGCGGAAAACTCATCCATGAATATGGTGGTACGGATGACGCAGCCACCGTATTGCTACTAGTTGTTCTAAACTATAAAGAAATAATAGCTTGAGACGTAGTGGCTAACGTAGGCATAGTTTGCATTGACGACATAGATGACATGGATGACAGGGCAAACCAAATGGCAAAAAGTGTTTGTATGGAGAAAGATTTTCCCATATAAGTGCATTTTTAAAACACGTGATAAGTTTGGTTTATTTGAAATATAAAACCAACAAAATTGGATGTGGATGCTTATTTTTCTAGTGGAAAACGAAGTGCATGCATTCTGAATTCCCCTTCACAACTTTAGGCGCAGCTAGGTGTATTGCTAGTGCACCTAGAAGTTGATCACCGGCTTTTAAGGTTTTTGGTCTATAAACTAGAATGCATTGCTTCCGGCAGTCAAATATTTCAGAAAACCTGATTAAGCAGTACCAGATCCTCTTGATTTTACGCTTGGTAGCTTTGAAAAGCAAAGTGTAACGTGCAGGATTGTTATGTCCTATTAATGAGGGAAAACACGAAGCTCCTTTTCAGTAATGACGCTGGGTTTTTTACCATGGAGTAAAACATCAGCGCAACCTGCACCCAACGAAATTGAGATGGACTTCGCAGGATCAAAGGAACTGCTACTTTTTGATAATTAGCTTGCAAATGACACAAGGTACTCTGCAGAGCAAGTTGCAGGACCCTTCGTTCAAGTATTAGACAACGTTGCAGGCGATATTTTCAATTCTATGATGTTTATTTAATTAACAAAATCTAGTGTTTAGATGCTTAGTTAAAATATTTAGCAATGGCGGATGACACGTTGTCTCCTCGGGAACTCATGCATATAATATACTTTGTCAATGCATCTGGTCACCTTTAATCGTGTCAGCAAGAATATATATTTAACTTAGCAAATTTTAGTAAAACTCTTGTTAAATATCTGAAACATTTTCAGGTCAGGTGTTATTTTGCGAGTATGCTTGTATTGACTGACACAAGCAACACATTTATAACGCTTGAATACATTTTGCTTCAACTTGTAGAACCTACGCAAATCGCATTCTAAATGAAATGAGCTTTTGTGTTCTCTCACTATGGTACTACGTTAACATGGTAGAACTAGGAGGCATTTTGCCAACTCGGTTATGATCATTTTGTTGAAACAGGCAGGAGGCTGAACATAGCTTTGTTAAGTAGCACACTTTTAAAAGCTTGCTTAACGTGTAGTTTACTATATCAGTCCGAATGTTGTAGCATGCGTTGCTGCCTGTAGGCTACGTAACATTTTACCAAAATTAGGTGAGACACAAATAGTGTTAACGTGAACAGATGGCTTATTCTAACGTGGGTGAAGACCAGTGATTTTGAATAAGGATCTTTTCATTGTCAGGTACTAGTTTTGGTATAAATAGTTGGTTATCATTCTTTCATCTGGTAGGTTATATGATGACACGCATCTTTGGATTAATAAAAATAAATTATATCAAAAATCCATGAAACTTTGGATGATGTAATTTCAGGCTAACAGACAGCTTACCATTTAATTTTAATATATATGAACTTGGTATTTGATATTAACTAAGCTTAAGGTAAAAACGATAATAGATAGAAAGCTATACGTAGATAAGGAAATGGCAAAACTATGATTCTCCAGAGCTGGTTACTACCAGATCTATGCCCTTAACTACAGCATAGCGAACCGGTGACCCACCTTTCCCATGCATACACTGGTTCGTATTGTAATGCGCTGTAATACCACATAATTATGCCTACACTTTGATTGGATGGCTGTTTTGAAATAATGAGGCGTATTAAATCTTAAGTCATGGGCTTAACTAGGTATAGGGTAATGAAATACTTTCGCAGGGATATATGTTTGTTAAAATCAAAGCAAAGTCATTTGTGTAGGGGGCCTTTAAAAGCGCTCAATGTAGCAAGAATGTTCACATCTCAGCAGCAAGTTAAAAGCAAGGCAACTGGAATAATAGATTTTTGCCAAAGTGGGTATTGTCAGCTTCTAACCGTTTTTTAGTTTACATGTGCTAAGCTCGGACATTGGTTCAATATTGTTTTAGTAAGCCTCAAACAGAATGCGGTGACACTTTGAAAGCTAAGATGGACCTAAATAGAGATATTCCGTTTGCAGCAATTGCTTCTATATGTCCATGATTTATCTTGAAACAACACGCGTAGAATATGTCACATAAACCAGCAATTGGTATTTATTGGAAGCGCTCTACGTTATATATAGGGATGCTTGACAATTGTGGAGTCCAAACCAGCAACGAAGACACAGCCCTTAACCCAACGGAAGCCCAAAGAACAACATCAAATTCTTGGCCATGGCTGGTAAGTTTGCGCTAACTTTCACCATCAACAATGTAGCTTTCCAACGCTTCTTTAATAATGACGTGCCTATGAATTATCAGCTAGAAATGGCAGTGTGCATAATCTGCTAGACAAATGTAACCTTAAGTTTAATGATCGCAATTCACGCAGTCCAATGATGTATATCTTACTTTTGTAGCGTTTGACGTAACATGTGTAGGTCAACATTTTATAAGATGAAAAAAGCTTATCTTGTGCTGCTTTGGAGCGCCAGTTAGTACCAAGTTGCATGAGATGTCAGTGCACGCTGTACACTGCCTAAGTATGGATTACCGATTGAATTGGCATTTAAATGTAAAATAGTCGCAGTTAATATGCTTGGGATATCACAATCCCTTGACAACAGATTAAAAATGTATCGATGACACCTTGCAGAATGACGGAAAGCACCTGCACATAACGATACGGATCACATGCTCCTCCTTTATATGCTTCTAAATAACTCGGATACAAATGCATGTGAAAAAGCCGGACAAACGATTGAAATACGCCGCGTTCCAAAATGTTAATATTAGGTATAATACTCATAAATTTTAAGCGTAAAATTAATTGAAAACTTTGGCTCCTATACTTCTAGAGTATAACATCTCAAATGAAAAAGGAATCGGCGGCATTTTTAGTAGTTTATTGAGTACTAGCATTTCTTAAATACAGCAAGTTTAAGAATACTGTCAACAAACGTGAGCTAATAGCGCTTCTTGTCCAGTAAGTGCAGTTTATGCTGTTGAGCATTTGTACGTCTTAAAATTGCCACAAATCATCTATGGCTCAAAATACCTAAGACGATGCACTGCTTGCACAGAACCCACAGGTTGTGCTGTAAAGTTGCATGTAAATTTTCGAAACCTTATCTGCATCAATAATGTGAGTATGCGGGTACTTGTGTAAAAAGGGATGAAAACAAGAAAACATCGGGTACTTTTGCAAAACTTATTTGCAGCAATAATCATATCTTGCCTTATTTGAGATAGGGTTATAATATGCAATGACAATGGCAGCATTCTAAAAGCGGTTAATGTGCTTTATAAAGGCACTACTTATTATTGTTTAGTATTCCTGGTTTAAAGGCTTTCGCTGCTTTCACTCAAACTTTTGAAAAATATGAAAATTAGGTTTCATGACTATAGCATGTGAAGTAAAATCATCTATAACGCTTCATTTTCTATTTGCCTGTCGATATATAATATTAAACTTACACTGGACGGAAAGTTAAAAATATTTGTTTTAGTCCAATAGTTTGCAGGAATTGAGTTTTATGCTTAGCAGCATAAAAGATAGTAAAATCTGGGTTATTAATTATTATAAGAATATTGGTGAAAATTACGCTATTTATTACCTTAAAGCTAAAGCTAAAATTTTATGAAATGAATGTAAGCATGGACAAACTGGGCACTACATAAGGAATCGGTGTAATGACAATGGGCTAATAATGTGTTTTGGAGAAAATGGTTTCTTTAAAAACCGTGCAATAATACTACAGCTCCTGCTTGAAGTATTATTTTATGCTGTCTGCACATACGCTAAATTTCAACATTTTGATCACTCTCTGGTGCAACAAAGCAGCAGCTTGAAACTGGCAAGCAAAGGAACATAGTGTCATAGACCACCTCAGAAACAACAATATAGAGACAAGTGTTAGTCTCTATAACAATGCTTGATAGTGCTAGCAACTTATACTCGAAAACTTCAGAGCGTTTGTAAATATTCGTTATGATTTGAGCGATTTTGTGCTGCCGCAATTATATTGTAATAAATGCTTGGAATGCCACTGCCGGATTAACTTGATGATCTATGCGCAGTAAGTGTTACTAAATGCGGTAAACATTCTGAAGCTCAATAACTCTCCCCGTGTTCGAACACACGTAACACACTTCGGAATGTACTCACCGACTGGCGTACACAGATACCGACCAGTACTGCGGATGTAACCACTGTATCAACAATAGCCAAAGTGGCAAATACAATGTTCCTTACCGATACCTGATAGAGTAAGCTTAGCCAACAGGGTTTATAATTCCTGCTTATCCAAACAAAGACCAGTTTAACAGCACTGAATCTCCGTCACCGTACTGTGGCTAACCGCCGCCCGAAGCTTGCCACAGCATCTCCTTTGAAACACAAATGGGGATACCTATGTATTTTTGACACGGCTTGGCGGTTGTCGATTTTATGCCATTATGCGGCCGTGCAACGTCTCCGCAGCCTCTTCGTTAAACCGCCGTTCAGACTCTTATAATTTTGTGATGCATTTATTATAAATTTTAAGAAAGTGTTTTGAAGAGACCGCGGTTATGCTGGACAGGAGTGAAGCTATTGGAATTTCGTACAGCCCCGCCCATGAGAGTTATGGACAAACGCATTGCAGTCTTGATCCAAATGTCATTCATCTTATAAACACGTTAAAAAGTAGGGCTACTTTGTTCTTTTGTGTACATATATAACGGGAATTTGGGGTTAATTTGTCCATCGGTAAAATCAAAGTATCTTAAAAAACGTTACAATTAAGACACCGGTTAAAATTTGAAGAGCTCCGTGACGGTATGCGGCCACGCATCCAAACTGCAAAATATTACCCTCTGTTTGCCAAAGGTAGCTAAAAATTTTGCCTACTTGCGAGTAATACTTTTTGCAGCAAATGTCTTCCCATTGCGTTAAGCGTGATGTTTATTTCTATGGTTTAGAAGATAATTATTTATCTAGCAGTGCTATAGGAATGTGAATTTATTGCTACATTGCAGTAACGTGTGTGATGATGACGTTTGAAACCATGGTTTTACAGAAACATTATAAATGCTTCCAAATAGTTGTTTCTCTCTTTTCGGGGCCGGTAAGCGGATTGCTGGCGACTATACACTATTGCAGTGTTTAGAGGAAGTAATGTTTCCGGTAGTCATTTACATTCATTTTCCACACAAAGCTGTATTTCTATTCCCATCAGTAACGAAAAACCTACCTTAAAATCCCTCTATAATACTTACGTTTCGACTGTATGTGGGGACTCTAAACGAGCTTGGATAAAATCGTCAAGCAACAGGCTTTTGTAGAATAATCCTACTGGCTATCATTTGCAGTATTTTATTGCATTATTTGAGTATAGTCATAAAATGCACGTGAATGATGCAGGGTGCATTATTTTGCCTACGTAAGCACGGTTGTATCTGCGACATTGTTATCCTACATGCGTATTATTCCCCTTTCATACTTATTGAAAACACCCTCAGGTTCGGCTGATTACAAAAGATCGTGAAGGAAAGGAATACTACTGGTGCGGTGGGACGCTGATTTCTCAAACGTTGATCGTCATCGCAGCTCATTGTTTTAGTGATAACGGCTGGGCTGTTGCTCCAGGATTTCCAACTACCCCAGAGAATGCCATCGGTACATCCCTTTACGCTTATTTGGGCAACCATCGCAGCAGCGCTGATCACGGAACTGCTAAGAAGTATCTGGTTAAAATGATTTCAATCCATACATACCATGACACTTTTAAAATATCTAAAGGATATGATATAGCTTTACTGCAATTGGAGAAACCTGCAGATTTGAGTGAGTTTATATTTATGACAAAAAGCTAATTTGCGGTGTTTAGTGTTGGCTTCCTCTATTTCTCCCGCCAATTATATATGAGGAATTTATCAATTAAACCCAGTGCGGATATGAAAATATACAGTAAAACCTCACTTTTCTCGCAAAGTCATTGAAGAAATGCTTAACGCGTGTCAAACAACCATCGTCGCTACTTCGACCGCATAAACAGCTCCCCGAGTATACGGGTGACAGTAGCTGTTTTGGTGCGAATATATTTAGCAGCTTAACTGAAGGTAGAGTGTCATTGTATGGTTTAATAACACCGGGAATATAACCATTCTGCTGATTATGGTTCACAGCCGTTTTAACCTTGAGCAGCAAAATATGTATCCTTTGAATAATGTAATCCCACTTGTAATTCGCGTTGGATTTATCTTAAAGATTCTAATAATCACGTAGTGGGTAACACAATGTCAATGCCAGCTAACGTAACCGATACAACAAGTAATGGTGGGCGTGTCAAAGTGACTTGCATGGTACAACATGAACCACCTACTGCCATGATATGCGATCAAGATGGTACAATTTGTTTTGTCTGGAACCCGGTTCTCTCTCTACCAACTGCGAGGTAAGTTATTTGTCAAAATAAGCACACATGCTCACGTGGGCACTATTTGTTAGTATTAGGATTTCATGCGCAAATTATTCTCCTACTTCCCAAATGTACATGAGCCGACCGAACCAAATACGCACAGCCGCTGACTTTATCAATTTAAACTGACAGGAAAACCCTTATGCTGGGAAATTACAAATTTCATACCAGTAGTGCTACTGGCAAATAATGACGTGGCAAGAAGGAAAAACATTTACATTAGACAATCTTAATGCAGATATTTTGGGTATGCTCAAGTTCGAATTTAGGTTGGACTTGAGCGACAGGAGAAACCTGTGAACTTTCCGTCTTAGTTAGATGGTTAAGCCAATACGTAAAGAAAATTTTAGATTTCAGGATTGATCTAAAACGCAACAGCAGTATCGCAACCTTGCCAACAAGTTAATATTCAGGTTACTTGCTTAAGCTGTCCCTGCAGCGGCAGTCATGCAAAGTAAGCCAAGGAGAGGAAGCAAACTCAAAGGTACAAAGTAAGGTGTTGCATATGAAATAATAAAAACACATCATCGTATGACAAAATAGTGAAAAAAATATCAGGCGCTTTTAACAAAAACTCCAGGAAAATGGCGTTGAAATAAAAGGCAACAACAGTAAAACGTCACGGTTTTAATACAGTCAATGAAGGTTATCACTGCAATGGGTTACTATTCTCAAAGTCGGTCTGTCTAAAAGTATTGGGTTCCAGCCACTGAACAGCTGAAGCTTCAGCAAAACATCGCAGGTGAAAATCACTTTGTTGGTTAATTATCCGGAACCATTGGCGGGGATTTAGACTACTCTAGCAGTATATTAGGTGCTAGGTATTTGAGCTAGCTTGCAGCCTGTGATCGTTTGTGGTCATATCAGGTAGGCACAACTAAGAAATGGCGGTCAATTAGGATTTCAGAGCACCTTCCACGTAATATAGTTGGCGAAGTTCCAATTTTCACAAACCTTTTCTAATGGCTCCAAAAGTCTTAAATGCCAAACACAGACGACTGCGCGTTAGGATGACTGTTCGGTTGTTGTCAACATGTTATTTCAATTGAACTATTAGAATTTAAATATTTATGCCTTCTGCCAAACCTCCTTGTATGTTGTTAACCAACTCACTGGAGCGTGGTTCCACCAGTCTAATATTGTGTACCGTAACTACACTCCTACATATTTATGTTGCAGATAAGGAGGTTAACTACGCTTGCATAGCGACACAGCCTATTGAATTTGAACACGGCACCAAATGCTACGCTGTTGGTTGGGGTCAGATGCCAAGCAGCGTTAAAAGTAACATGGAAAAATACTCGGTCGACGCTTCCCAAGATCCTTTCAACCCAGGTGATACAGACACCGATAACGTGCTTAAGTTTAAATTCAAAAATTCGGAACCAGTTGAAATTCAGGAGGTTGTTCTGCCAATAATGAGTGCAGACAAATGTTTTAAGTACTACCCGAAACATCAAAAGGGTTCTCAATTTTGTGCGGGTTGGAGTTTGAAGGTAAGCAACTATCGACATATTTTTGGCTAGGTTTGTTGTAATATTGAAATAACATCCCGAAAATATAAGCGCTTGTGTCACCTCCTGCAGCTAGAAAGCTCCTTGATTCTCTCATGACAGTTAACATATTATATCCTGCCATTTGTGAAGCTGAAGTCTTATCTATTTTTTGAGCTAATACATGGTGGACCTTGGAATCTAAACGCTAATTGCTAACTCACGTTGTTTTTTCGTTTCTGAGCGCGTAGTGAATGGCGCCATTTTCCAGTTAACTGCTTAATTTACGCGCCTAGCTTTTCCTATCAAATTTCTGCTACTGTATCAATAACAGTGTTTGGCAGGAGCCACTCAATCTGACTAATTGACAAGAAAACTTGCCGCAAACCTAATTATAACAATAGGTTGTTGGCGGTCCACCCTTTTAAATTGACACTAAATATATAGTCCTATTAAACAACTGGAGATTGTAAATATTCTGCTTTCTTAAGACAGAAAGCGCAAATCGGTGGACGTGATTTGATTAAACAATTATGCATCTAGTGCTAGGGTGCGGCTCGCCGAGCACTGTTCCTGTTACACGATCCGAGATGTAAAGTATTGAAAGAGGACAGCATGTGGAAATGAGCCACAGTCTTGATTTCCTAGTTGTGCCACCGAAGGTAGCTATAAAGCTTCATTTATACAACACAACATGCCGTCGTGTTTGGGTTGACCACACACCGAATGTCATCTGACAAGTACCTCATTTTGAAGCCAATGCACCGTAAACACATGCCTGTATTCACTATTATTATTAGATATTATGCGTAGAAGTTAGAAGAGAGCGCTTCACACGGGCAAGGCAAACTTCAGATCCATTCAACTCGATTATCATAAACCACCTCATCTGTGTTACACGCTTTAAAAGTTAATTGCTAATTTTCCGAGCATTACTTCATTACCGTTAGTGCAGATATTTGGATAAGGGTTTTAAAACTTTGGCGGTCTACCCAAAACATATATATCCCCATAGCCCATCATGCGCATTTTGAGATAAGCGGAAATTGCTGTTATAGAAACAAGCATTTAACTAATTACAATTTTAAGTTCGGTTAGGACTAAAACGATAAGAGAATTCTTGTGTATGTTCCATTTGGAATGGATCGTAGGGTTAAGAATTGACAAAGTGCATAGAGTTCTTTATTGACCTAAATCGGAAATCTCGTTCCGCATCGTGGTCAACAAGTTAATGCACACGTTACCTGTCCTAGTAGTCAATTACGTGGCAGTCAGGTGAAGTAAGCAAGAGACAAGCTGAGAACACCAAGGTAGAAAATAAGCAGATGCACTTAAAAATATTAGCGAGGAGAAATATATAGAGTAGGCTGTGATTAGCTGTTAACAACACAAGAGCCGTCATACTTCCCACAGTACTAACTTGAGTGGTTTTACTTATTTTACTACTTAAGAAATTAGGACTAGCGGAAAACTTCGTAGATCATGTAAAGAAACTTATAAAATGTATTCTTATGAAATATTTTTATAGCAACCATTTATCGGATTACTACTGAAGAATAAACAAGAATTTTGAATGTCCTGCTTGTCGGATAAAGCAACATGAGCTGCATAGCACTGTACTGTGTATACATATTCTAAATGCCTAGATTTGTGGAAGATATACAAAGCAACAAACAATCTAATTAATAGTTTTGCGCAAAATGCGTTCCGGCAGAACAAATATAACAAATGATCAGAAAGTTCCAAGAAACAAATAAAACTGACAGATAGTAGTTTTTATCTCATAGCGCTAATCCTTTTCATTTGGCCCATGAAAAATATGTTACGCGAGAATACTAGATAAATTAGTGAAAAATATTAGGTTTATTTTTAACACAAAGATACCCTGTGCATTATTTAATATCCGGTTGGAAACATGTCGTTCGCCGCTTGCTAGCTATTCATTATATCACCTATGTCACTTTCCTTCTAGGATTCTTGTGAACGCGACTGCAGAAGTGGACTATATTGCATGATCCCCTACACGAATAAGTGGCTGCTAGCGGGTGTGAGAAACTACGGCACAGAAACTGAGTGCAAACCGGGTACGGGTATATACACTTTGACACAGAACAGAGAGGAATGGTTGCGGTCAATGTTAAAGTGGTGGGCTTCTTAAATGACGTTCCTGAATGGGTACGGAAAGGTGCCATTTACCAATTAACGGCTAATCTTATGCGTTCAATTTTCCCATCAAACGACTACAACTGTATTTGTAACCTGCACCACACTGAGGAATTTCACAACATGCAGTTGTTGTTTTTTACATAATAACACATCTTGGTTTATTTCCTCTGTAATTTCAAAACTGCATGATAACCTACATTTAATTACATATACCTTTGTTGTAGAACGACAATTTCCATTGAAAAATGGAAAAGTACACGAACCTCCTAACCATCTCTAAGCGGTCATGGACCGTCTGGTTGCGCTTTGTGATGATATTTGTTGCTATTGCTGAGACGCACGGTAATGAGAAAACGTTTTGGAGCATTTCTTTAAATGTTTACGACCGTCGCTCTATTCAGTAAATAAATTTGAAGCATCAATGTGAAAAAGCGCAGACGCCTGGAGCGTTTATTCTCAGAAATCAATGAAAAATATGCTATAATGATTTGCGGGTAAGAAAATGAGGCTTCTCATGTACTATTGCATGGTTAGTTTGCGAACAACAATTTCGGGAGATGTGCGTGTCATCTGTATATGTAGCCGCCTTAATAAACTACACAAGCGAGAGGGTTTCTCAACTATTCACCAGAAGGTTGGCAAAACTACGTATGTGCGGCAACGTTGTGGTTTCCGAAAATTCTTATAAAAATGAACCGCTCAATAAGGTTGTGTAGCCATCCAGATAAACCTATTATATGCCAAAATTGTTCCAAACAGTGTGTTAGTGCTGACGACACTTAGACTGCTAGACAACGACAGTTTACCTTCATTGCAGATTGCCTGATCTTGCGTATTCAGTTTGGGAAAAACAAACATTAAACACTTAAGTGTTGCCAAATGTTGTGGCCAAACTCTGTAAAAGAATAAGTAAATGAAAATTTTATTGCTTATACTAACATCCAGATGAAAAGGAACCATTTGAATTTTAGGTGCATATCTAGTAAAATATTTAGTATTGGGTATTCAGCGATCGATTGCGTGTAATTATCGATGCTATATTGACGACGCTGCGCCACCTTTCTTATTTATATCATTGCATTGACATGTTCGCTAGCAAATCGAACAGGAAATACCAGCTTTGGTTAAACGCAACTTAGTAGGAAATTAAAAGCCAAGTTTAATCCCTTCAAGTTAAGCTGTATGTACCAGGATGGTTGCCTTTAAAATAAGTTACAGCGTTATCTGCGGATAAACTTAAATGACGTCCTTAAGAAGACGACGGTTTGTATATGGAGATAATGAAGAACATAGTGTAATAACGTCATCCGAGCAAAAGTAGGCACGTCATTGAGCCCTGAGAGCAAAATGAAAATTAGCAACCGCCGCATGTTTCCTGGCCGTCGGATAACAGGTCGACCAAAACATTTTCCTGACTGGTTTCAGCTTACCCAATGGTTATGGCAAAACACAACAACTGGCTAATTGTGTGCAGTGGTAAAATAAAGAATTGAAGGTATGGAGAGTTATACTGTCTTGGTGAAATGGTAATTATTTTGGACAAAATATTGTAATGGTACGCTTACAATATTTGTATCAGCGACGAATGATGTAAGGGGGATGTTTAGTAAAAGAACAAAGACAAATTCACAGGCTTTGCTGGATAATATAGTCTAATTATCTGACAGCCAATTTATAAACCATTTTTATAAGCGGAATAGGCGCCACTGGTCAGTATTTTTGACTGCAACTTCAAATTCCTTAATACGATATGTAAAATGATTCATCGTTAAATCTTGGCACTTGAGAAGTGTTTGCGGGTATGATAGTTAAATAAAAATAGACTGAGTAACCTTAATTGGATTTGCCGAAATGTTGATGTAGACATTTTAACTAACTAGAACAGAAATTTTACAATATTCATTGGGTTGACATTTGCTATATTCACCATCAAACCTTTTATCAGCAGGAGGCGTAGAATTGATATAGTCGTTCAAGTAAGTTTACCGCAAGCAAAAGAACTGCGGTATGGTTTTACGGTTCGTTATTGGGCGTTTCGCTTTAATGTCTATGTGCAAGATATATGGTTGTGAGACTTTTGACGTTATTCATCTATATTTAGCAAAACATAATTGGAAATGCGGAATACCCTAAATGCATTAGTGCCTAAATAAAGTGCAGTTGTTAAAATTAAATTGTCTAACGATAGCAGATTAGTTGGTAGACGTAGCTAGGGTAGTTTGGGTTGTGATTCGAGCGCACCAGATGTAGTCGCTTATTATTATGCACTATTGCTCATACAGATCGAAAAACTACGTGTTTGCAAATATTCAAAAGTAGATAATCAACACTGAAACGATGCACGCAGCGTAAATGTCAGGGAAGTGACGAAAATTACTGATGCTTTCGCTACTTGTATGTTTCAGCGCCGTGACTCATAAGGTATGAAAAGAAATTGCCGGTAGATTAGCATAGGTATCAGCGGGAGGTTCGAAGCTATTAGTAATTTCCTGGCCCTTGCTGTGTGCCTAAATCGGTAGTCAAAATGACTGAAGTTTTTGCATATTGTTGCATAGTTGTAGGGATTTTATCACGAAACACAAGTATAAGATAAACGCCTACGGCTTAAGACAACCTGCATTGGAATTCGCGGGCTTCAAATATGGATAGCACTTTTGTTGGTTAGCAAGTCACTATTTGTCTAGCTGGAACGAGATGTAAAGTGTTAGTGTGATTGGACTCATTGCTGGGGGAAGGTGGCATCACCATAGGTTTGCCCGCTGGAATTCACCTAATTCCTCACAATATCTTGCTCCAGATGTCTTGAGTGTCTAATGCTAACGCCATCAGCTGCTGTTTACAACTCCAACTAGAAAAAAACCATACACCGTTTTGCTGACAGAAGAGCGAAACCTATATGGTATATGCATAGATAAAATTGGAAGTTTCACAGCACGTTATAGTTAGGTAATGATAGGAAATGCATAGCTTCCTCTAATCTACCTTTTATTGCAAGGATAAAATATACTAAACACTTTTATTCAATAGAAGAAATGCATTACTCTAACTGTTTGATTTACCTTGTCCGGTGATGTGATTCTAGAGAGCAGATTGATCAAACGGCTATACCGCCTCCGGCGGTCATGGCTTTGATCCCAGTAAGGGACGGGGGAAATTAGCACCACTGAAAAAAGGGCACTTGGGCAAAACACTGGTAATTTTCCTGAAGATGCTGCGATTTGCAGATTTATGCTATTGGGATGAAAAACGTTAAAAATATTCGCATTTGTCAGTCACTTCATGTCATCCATTTACACAGTAAAATACATGATCCAGGTCATGCATTTTGTCATAGCAAGTAAATTGTAGGGATTGGTCACGTTTCATCGAGTAAATTAATGTTCATAATTATGTTTCGTCTATCAGCTAAGAAAGTTTGTCCATATAGACACGCGCATCATACGGAGCGGTCACTATTTCAAAGTCAACAGGTTACCTTTGCTGTACGACATACAATGAAAAATGAACAAGGTTATTTTATTGGTAAATAAACATGTGCTTTGCAAGTTTTGTAGGTAAAGACACATCAAATATTTAAATCGTTACCTCGAGCGTCCAACGAGTTAATTGCACTACTATTTAATAACAGGTTGCAGGGGTAATAGGATTTGCACAAGCAAAATATTGTGAAGAGCTTTTATGGTTGAGCAAACTTGTGAGAAATAAAATGGTTTCACAGCCTCGTGGATGTAAAGAAGAATGCTGTTGTCCAAGCTATCAAACGCTTCCGGGAATTCCATGTAGACAACCAAGACACCCAATCTTGGATCGGCTGACTATGTCTAGCTTGCTCCGGCTAGCAGCAAATTTGTAGTGCAGGATCGATTTTAGCGGTTTCCTTATCACTGTAACACTAGGGTACTCTTGCTCTCAAGATATCCTGTAAAAGCCTTTGCAGTTATATGTTTTGTTATTTAGATAAAACTGAGACAATGATGTGTGGACGGTAGTCCGAAGGCACCGAATAATTACCACTATTATAAACAGGAGTGACGAATCCATGGTTCTACATTGTGTGAACCTATATTACCTGGATAAAACTTTGAAAGTACCAAGCTAATGTTTCGGAGAGATTTATGGCCGCTGTCTTCAAGGCCTTGGGCGTCGTATCTTCCACATCAAGTTATCTGTGCGTGCGCAATGATATTAGCATTTTATCAAACTGGCTGCATAAAACGACACGCAGTTGCACCCTGGTGGTGATTGAAGTGGTGTAGACAGCGGATGCATTGTGATTCATTCCAAAATGTATGGATGAATGGTTGATGATGCAATTTGGCTGCACCATGTGCCTTTGGTTCCAGACCAAATTTCGCACCTAAAACCGGTATCCGTCGCAGCACACTGCAGAGCTAGTTGATTTGTCGAAACAGCAATTTAAGAGTTGTAATGATTTTCGACGCCAAGTTCTGCTGTAGCTTTAGTTTGTCTTCGCAGCTCAACTTGACGCAATGGTTTCGTTAAGTTGTGTAAGCACTCCAGGTCAGGTTACTTGGACGTACCTTGTAAGTGCGCCAAGCTGCATACTTTATGGCCATGCATTTTCCAGCACAGCTCCTCAGGAACAAATTCCCTTTTAGGCGACGGACCTTGCGTTCTGAAGCACTTGGAACTAGCTCAGTGAATTGGGTAGCGAAACGATTCAGGCAATATAGGGCGGATTCCCGGCCAGAAGGGACAAGCTAGTTTCTTGAACAAATTATGAACAGTGCATCGTACTGTGTAACGACATTGTTTTCCCCGTCGTTATAACTGAGGTACTTCGAGTAACTGATGTAACAAGAGAGCAGCACGGCTTTCTTGCTTCGTCCATTTGGTGCAACTATGGTCAAGTTGTCGGCCATTAGTTCCTAGTTGGATAGTACGAGGTCCAATCCGAATGTGTGGCGCCCGTTGGAAATCGCTTAGGTGAAGTGATGTGGTTGTACATAGGTTCAAGGACCATCACCGCTT